CTGGCGGTTCAAACCCACCAGCCACTCCTTGGAAGGAAGGTTGGGCAATCCTACTTCTGTAGTGATACTGCCTCGGAAACCCAAGGAGGGGTCGCTGAGTCAGGGCCAACTCCACCGCACATAACAACAACAACAACAAATCTTATCTGAATGAAATCATGCATTTTATAACCCTTTGTATCTGTCTTTTTTCACTTAGGGTAACACTTTTGAGATTCATTCACATTGTGACAATAATTTGTTTATTTTCATTGTTCAGTGGTATTCTATGATGGATATACCACAGTTGGTTTATTCATTCACCCATTAATGAATATTTGGTTTCCAATTTTTTATTATTATAAATCTGCTACAAACAGTAGTATATGTCTTTGGGCATATATTTTCATTCCTCTTAGGTAAAAAGCCTAGAAGTGTGATCATAGGTTCATATGGAAAATGTGTGTTTAACTTTCTCAGAAATTTCCTGTTTTCAAAATACAGACACCATTTTCCATTCTGCCAACAGTATATGAGAGTATGAGTACCTCTCTACTCTTACCAACATTTGGTATTGTCAGTCTTTTTAATTTTAGCTATTCTAGAAAGTGTGTGGTGCAATCCTATTGTGGTTTAATTTGCATTTTCCTAAATGATTAACAATATTAAGCACATCTGTCACGTGCTCATTTGCCAACCATATATCTTCTTCATGAAGTCACTGTTAAAATATTTTGCCCATTTTTTAAATGGTTTATTTTTTAATTTTCTTTATATATTCTAGATAAGCATTGCCTTCAAGTTGAATTCCAACCCGTAGCAACCCTATAAACCAAAAACTCAACACCATCAAGTCAATTCCGACTCGTAGCGACCTCATTAGGTTTCCAAGTCTGTAAATCTTTATGGAAGTAGACTGCCTTATCTTTCTTCCACAGAGCAGCTGGTGGGTTCTAACCACCAACCTTTTGCTTAGCAGCCAGATGCTTAACCGCCATACCACCAGATCTCCTATAGCAGCCCTATAGGACCTGCCCCATAGGCTTTCAAAGCTATGCCCTTTACTGAAGCAGATTGACACATCTTTCTTCCACAGAGTGGCTGGTAAGGTTGAACTGCCAACCATCTGTTAGCAGCTGAGCACTTTCACCACTGTGCCACCAATACTTATTATGTTTTATATATAAGTCTTATATTTGCCTTGTATGTATTTCCTCCCAGTCTGTGGCTGGTCTCTGGATACTCTGAACAGTATCTTTTGAAGAGTAAAAGTTTTTAATTTTAATTAAGTTATATGTGAATTTGTTTTTTTATAGATTATGCCTTTAGTATCCAGAAATCTTTGCCTATTACAAGCTCACGATGATTTTCTCTTATATTTCCTTCCATACCTTTTAGGTTTGGGGTTTTACAGTTACGTCTCTAGTCTATCTTGATATAATTTTTGTATATGTTTTAAGATGTAAATCCGTGTTTAATTTTTTTTTCTGTGTAGGTGCCCAGTTGTTGTGGCACTATTTATTCAAAAGACTATACTTTCTCCATTGCACTGCCTTTGTTAAAGCCATTTTCATCAAAAATCAGTTGTCCATGTATGTGTGAGGAGTTATGGGGGCATAGTGACTTAGGCATTTGACTGCTTACCAGAAGGCTGGTGGTTCAACCCAGCAGCCACTCCTCGGAATGAAGGTTGGGCAATCTACTTCCATAGCGATACCGCTTTGGAAACCCAAGGAGAGGTCTCTGTGAGTCGGATCCGACTCGATGGCAGTGAGTTTGGTTTTTTGGTTTATATATATATGGATCTGATAAGTTTTGAAATTCAGTAATACTGGCCTTCCAACTTTATTCTTTTTCAGAGTTGTTTTGACTATGCTGTTGTTGTTATCGGCTATCAAGTCAGGCCTGACTATGGCAGCCACATGTTGTCAGAGTAGAACTGTGCTCCAGAGGATTTTCAGTGGCTGATTTTTTTTTTAATTAATTAATTTTTGTGTGTGTGTGATTTGGGTGAAAGTTTACAGAGAAAATTCATTTTCCATACAGCAGTTAACATACACTTTGTCTCATGACATTGACTACAATTTACCACAATGCAACAGCTCCCCTTCCATTTCCTCCCCATAGTTACCTCTTCCCTGTGTCCATCCCTCCATGCACTCCTGCCCCCTGAGCTATCTCCCTCTGCATAAACAGCCCTTCTTTCTCCCATGATTGTTCTCTCCAAGGAGTGTATCTACCTAGTGTAAATATTCAACTCATATGCCTGTCTTTTGTTTGGCTGGAAGCCACAGGAGTAGGTTCAATTCTAGACCTGAAGTCTGCCCTGAAAGGCAGCTAGGGGTCATAGCCTCAGGTGTTCCACCGGGCTCCATCAAACCAGCAAACCTGGTCCCTTTTCTTTCTTTTTTTTTATGATTTTGAGTTTTGTTCCACATTGTTCTCCCACGCTATCCAGGATTTCTTCTATAGATCCCCTTCTGAGTGGTTGACACTGGTAGCTGGGCACCATCTAGTTCTTCTGGTCTCATAGTTGTATAGGATGAGGACTGCATGGTCTACCAGTCGCTTAGACTGATTGTTTCTGTGCGTTTTTGGTTGTCTTCATTCTTTTTTGCTCTTTACAAAGAGAGATCCATCGTTGCACCTAGATGGCCACTTGCAAGCTTTTAAGATCCAGTTGCTAGTTGCCAAAGTAGGATGTGAAACAATGTTTTTGTGTAGTTTGTTAATGCCAGTTGAGCTTGATGCCCCCTGTGACTGTGGTCCAAGCCCGCAGGTCCAACTACTTGCTCCTTCTGGGTAGCTGGCTGTGACCAAGAAGTGACTACAGCCTTGTCCCTTGTCAGCTCAGCTATATACCTGGGAATTCTTACAGAACAGTTCTGGCTCAGTTTTGATTTTTTTTTTTTCCCCTCCCTATTATTTGTTGTATTTTCAAGCTTTCATGTCTGATAATCTTTAATTGGGTACAGATACAGCAGTTTTATAATCTTGAGCTTTGTTCTGAACACAGATTACTTGGAACAGTTTGATCTTTTCTTTCTTTTTTTCCTTCATTCAAGTTAATACTAGTCTATCCTGTAGTTAGTGGTTTACTCCCCCTTTTCCACCCACCCCTGCTAACTATCAAAGAATATTTCTTTTTTTGTGAAACCCCTTCTTGACTTTTTACAACAGTAGTCTCATACAATATTTGTCCTTTGTGATTAACTTTACTCAGTATAGTGGTCTCTAAGTCTATCCATGTTATGAAGTTTGATGTTTTGAGGCTTGCTTTTGAGATTTGTTAGGCAGAACTACAGCATTATTTTGTTCAGGGCTCATTATTTTCCGCTACTGAGAAGAAAAGGCGCTCTGGTGGCCCAGTAGTTAAAACATCTGGCTGTTGACTAAAATGTTGGGGGTTCAAACCCACCAGCCACTTTGCTGGAGAAAGATGCTGCCATAAAGATTTACAGCCTTAGAAACCCTATGGGACTGTTTCATTCTATCCTTAGGGTTGCAGTGCATCAGAATTGACTTGATGGAAGTAGGTTTTTTGGTTTACTGAGATAAAACCTTCCTAAATACCCTGAGCAGTGCCCTGTGAATTATGA